TAATTGAGCACAAAAATGATGATTTTTAACTCATTTACTGTTGCCAACGATTACATGGTTTTGACATGCGATGACCGAACGGCCGCAGTCGTCGCTTTTTCTTGCCGACTAAAGCCCCATAAATCACACCAAAGCTTAAACATGTTTAAAAGCTGTTTAGTTAACCCATTCGCTCCTGGAGATTTTGCCGAAAAACGCGTTTTGAAGCTAGTCGAGTGGTTTTCTGGTCACTGTCGTGCTATAAAGAGCTAGAACTCACCACAAACCGGTTTACAGGTCGTACACTTGGCGGCCTTCTGATCCAGATGCAAAATATCAGCTTGCGAAGTTTGGGCATGCGCAGAAAGCAAAATTTCGATTTACTTTTCGCTTTCTTTCCTCCCTTCTTTTTTCGCTTTTCTTGCCTCATTTTTTTTTTCTCTTGCTGGGCATTTAGTAGGCTTCATTTTGGTGGGAAGAGTTTTTAGGAAAGCTTTTAGGATCTTAGGATTAGGTGAAAGGAAAGGTAGGTGGGTAATGGAACAAGATTTTCATGGAGATTTTCAGGTCCTTGTCACGTGGTTTTTTGCTTCTTTGTCCGGTGTCCTTGACTGAATTGTGCTCATTCTGGTATGGTTTGAAAGATCTCTTCACTCTGCACAAGTTAGCGAAGAAAGTTGTCCTTGACCGTTAAAACTGATGACGTCACAAAGGGTAGAAAGGACCTGGATCCGCACGGGCGGTTCAGGGGCGAATGGGTTAAACATAGTTTAAAATTGTTTCCTTCATAAAAGCTGCTTACTGACTTGAATTGATTGCGTATTAAGTCCCAGTGCAAAATTATTACAAAATTTATTGAATTTGAATCCTGTGTTGAAACCTCTGTTCCAGTTTTCCGTGAATATTTTTCAATTTTTAAAACCTGGTTTAGTTAAACATGTTTAGTTAGTGTGAATGGGGCATAAGTCTAATAAAACTTTTGAAGGGATTTGCAGTTAGATCGTGCGGGGAAGTTTCTTCAAAAGGAGTTGTGAATTCTTTTTGTCATTCTGTAAAAAGGATCATTAAATTTAGTTTTAAGCTTATTTACGAACAGGTCAACCAAATAAAGTAACGCAAGACTTAAGCTTAATTTGCATTTGAGAATAAAAACCCTTTTTACCGGTTTTATTGATAAATTCAAGTAAAAAGGACAGAGCTTTACCTGTTAAAACTTCCAAACCGAACTTCGTCACCTTCTTCATGTATTTCGGGAACAGCTTGCTTGATTAGTTGTGAAATTTCTGTTAGTTACGGCAGCAAACTGGGAAGGCATTTTGCTCGCAACTTACGCGAGTTTGGCATCGCTCGCTCGGAGGAACTGGTGGTGAATCAGTGAATAGTGCAGGATATCCACTGATTGAGTAGCCAATCAGAGCGTGCGAAAAACACTATCCACTGTTTAAGTATATAGTAAACTTAAATACTCGCTAAACAAGGCACCTTTTATAGGCGACATTGTGCTGCAGTGGTCTAATACTATACTGGGTGTGTAAGAATTATGGAATTAATTCTAAAAATCACTTTTTTCGGCTTTCATTGCATGGCAAGCTTACTGAATCCAAAAGTCTGGCCCCGGTTGTTTGAATGTTGGATAAGTTTTGGGGAAACCACAGGCGTCCCAAGCTCATGTTACGAGTGCGTTATCGCTTCCTTTTGCTTCCCTCTTTTTGAAGACATTGTTTGTCACTTGTTTGATTAGTTTGTAAAAGAAAAAGTAAGATTTACGTGAGAAATTATGTCAAGTTGGCAGAGCCAACAAAAAACGCGGCCATCATGCTCGCTGACCGCCGACCATTCCATCACCATTTCATCGATTTCATCCATGACCATTTCATCGAGTAAGTCAGTTTTTTTGGCTGTTATTGTTTGACCCCTGTCATTCTCTTCATAATACGAAGTAAAGGCAGCACAGAAAAACAGCCGGCGGGCCAGACCTTGTCTACTTGAAGGCGGTTTGGGGCCCGACCGAGGGTGGTTCAGTCAAATAAACTGAAATTTAATTGCTAGATTTTTAGTTCATTTTCACGTGAGGATGATCATTCTTTGCGTTTATAGTTTTAACAGGTAAAACTGTTATTGACATCCAAACTACAACAACAACAGGAAACGTTTGTTGCGAGTTTTCTTTGTTGACTGAGCCACCGTCAGTCTAGGGAAATTTGACCTCGGAGCCAACACCCTTTGTCCAGTTGCAATATCAGAGTGTCTGGAGAAAGAAGGTATTTGGGACATGGCTCGAGGAAATGTTCATTGGGCAATTCCAGAAAATATCCATACCCAACCACGGACGGCTTCCATGTTTTAACCCCCCCTTGCCTTTGGAAATTCCAAAATGGGCCCTCAGAATTCCATAGTCGTGAACCCCCTCCCTTCATTTCCGGTTTTTTTTTTAAGTACATTTTCGACTTAAAACGCGTTAAGAACAAACGAACATGAATTTATGCCTCCTCAAGGCTGTGATCTAGCGGCGCCAGGTGACAAGCTTTACTCTTCAGTGACAAGAAAAACCTTCGCTAGTTGCCAGGCCGTGCAAACTCCTTTTTAAGTCCGAATTTGGCTATAAAAATAAACACCACTTAAGGTAATTTTACTCCTCTTTGTTTTCTTGTGCTGTTTTGACGTTTACAAAGGAAAATAGCTCAAACAGACTGTTAAAATCTTTTGGCGGTCAAATATACCGTCGAGTCGTGTTGCGTCCTTTTATACGTCATGTAGTGCGCACGAAAAGCGTTCTAATCTGACAGGCGTTCCTTGGAAGTGAGGGACTGGCGCGAGTTTTTTACTGTTTATCGGACGGTTTCGGACGGGAGTAACAAGAAATTTGCAAGGGGTATTAAAATATACATTTTCAGTTTTTATTCACGTGACAAGAAATTCATCAAGGTAAATGTGAAACCAACGTTTTACTGTTCACTTCTATAAGTTATGAGCGTAAACACGTGTCTGATCTATCGATGCTTGTCTTCTGCTTCCGCGGTCATACGTTCGTGGTTTATTTACGCTGATTTACGAACTACAAAAGTCCACAACAATAGCGTTTTCCAGGAACTTACTCTACACTTTCTACTCCAGAAATCCCACCTGTGGAATTCCCCCATACCTTCGGATTTCAAATCGTAAATACCCCCCCATGCCTTCAGAATTCCATAATCGTGAATCCCCCCTCCCCTTCGGAAATCCTTAAAGCCGTCCGTGGTATGGTATGGATATTTTCTGGAATCGCCCATTTCCAGCAACATGCGTGGGGATATTTCACTTGTAAATGTTTACTGTGGTGCAGCGATGATAGAAGTTTGCCTCTGGTCGAAAAAATCTGTGATTCGATGGGTTTTCGTGCCACAAACCACCTTCAAGTAGACAAGGTCTGGACCGCCGGCTGTTTTTCTGTGCTGCCTTTACTTCGTATTATAAAGAGAGCTACAGCCTAGGTCAAACCATAACAGCCAAAAAAACCGACTAGATCGATGAATTCACACCAAAAATCACAGGAATACATCAACTGTAAGTCTTCTTTATTTATTTTATAGAAAAATAAGTGAGAATAATAGTATTTAGTGTTCACAGACCTCAGTATTTTATTTCTCAACGGTTGCTTGTAATGCGACACTGACTCTCTTGTGAGAAAGTTAATTTGCATAACACACTCATAACGTGAGCTTGGGACACCTGTGGGGAAACCGGCTGCATTATCTGTTGGATAAATGTAGCATTTACCTTTCAGTAATAGCAGTAATGCCCATTTCCCTGGGCATTTGTCAAACTGTGTGTTCCCACAGTGGGACCATTTGCCATGAGTGTTCAGCCCAGGGGTAGAGAATTTGGAGACTGGAAGTGAGACATGAAAAGTCCCTGGCAACCACAGTATGGGGATGAGCATGGATATAGCAATAATCAAATCACAAAAATATGTGTGTTCTTACTCCTAGCCTGTTCCCAGGTTCTCAGGTAATGGGGATGATGTGTAAGTGAAAGGCACACAAAAATATGAGCATGTGATCTACGAAAGGGGGGCAGTGGCAGGAAAAAGGAAGGGTTTACTATCCTTTTCTGCCTGTTTTTGTCATGTCTGGATTCAGCTGTCAAACTGTCAAAATTTTAATTTGCTAGAATCATTCTCATATTTCCAACGGGAGTATCTCACACTACTCAAACTACACAAATGTAAAAAATTTCATGCGTTCCAATCCCAGGTCTAGAATAGTATCTGCAAATCTCGCAATCCATTGCCTTTCATGTGAACGAAGCTTTAATCTTCATATGCAGTATGTGGTTCTTTGTTTGGCCAGTTTTACTTTGTGATCAAATTTTTGGAAAAAAATAAGGTTACAATACAAACGAGACTTTCCAAGTGTTTATTGATCTGTTTGCCTTCTTAAGTTCGATTCGAAGTTTTCCTGATGCTAGGAAAGGCTGGAAAATCAAGTTAACGTGAATGTAGGTGAATTTTGTTCTGTAATTTTTCTCTTTTTTGTGGCACCTCAAATTACTTGGATATATTTTGAATTCACTCATGCGATTAAGTGCATTAAGAAAGGTAATTTTACATGGGGTACAAGAAATGTTCTTTTGAATTGCAAAAAAAATTCGGTAAAAAGGTTGAATTTTAAAACCAAATTTTTAGATAATATTCCCAAGTAGATTTTGCGTACTAGGTCCTTGGTCTGGCCACTGGGTGATACCATAAACCAGCCAAATAGTGATTGAAAAGGGAGAGGCTCAGAAAGTTCGGTTTGCGTTTCATTTAGTTCTTAGTAAATTAAGATTTATGAATTGAAGTGAGGATCTTTCAACTTTGAGTCACATTTTAAGTAAAGCACTTTCAATGAGTGAAGTAAATAATAAAGACCACATGCAGTGTTTTACTACCTGTCTTATGAACAAGGCTCGGAAGGAGTTTTACAGTAACTTTATAGACAAAAATAGCGGTGATCAAAAGAAACTATTCCATGCAAGTCAGCGCTTATTAATTTAACTGCACAATGGATGATGGTCTCCGACCTAATCTGGACATTAGAACTTTCTCTAACGACTTGGGGAAGCACTTTGTTCAGAAGATAGATACTATCCGCACACAGCTTGACACCAATCAACAGAGTGATTCATATCCAGAAGATGACACTCCATCTGCTGCTCAGCAGACTGATTCACTTCCGGAAGATGACATTGCGTCTGCTGTTCTTGATGAGACTGTGTCATCATTCGCTACTTTTACAATGCTATCAGTTCGAGATGTTAAACAGCTTATCCAGAACTCCGCCCTTAAATCGTGCCCTCTTAACCCTATGCCATCCACACTGGTTAGCAAATGTGAGTATCTCCTTTCAGTTCTCACAAAAATCGTTAACTCATTACAGTCTGGGCGTTTTCCGGAAATTTGGAAAGAGGCTTTAGTTTTTCCACTGTTAAAGAAACCCAGTCTCGTTGTTATCTTTTTGAGAACTTCTGTCCTGTGAGCAGATTGACAAGCGATGACAAATGAAATTTTCTTCCCCTCTAACCTTTGACTGAATTCATTTAAAATAGTGGCGTTGCATCGTAACTGCACGACACACTTTCGCACAGAAGCAAAACTATTAATTCTTCATGAGACCAAACTATAGCTCGTTACACAGAAATCTCATTTTGGTTTGGAAGTTTAAATGATGCTTATAAAAACTATACAGGAATTTAGATCAGTTGGTGCTTGGAACGTTTCTTTTTGTGCTCACTACTCCTCTTCTAAGATTAGAAATATTCATTTACGTCTTTTTCATCCCGACCAAGGACCACATACTGTACACTTAATTGAAACTTGTCAGCGTGCAAAGAAAGTCATGTCCGATAGCCCAGGACTAATGGATGTTGCAAACAGGCAAATGAATTCTGTTCTTAACTTGCCCAACAGGCAAATGTTTTTGAGGAAATTTAGATTACAAAAGGACTGTTATCAATCCTGCTCATCAAAGTTTTTGAGGGGCTGATAAAAAGGACCCTTGGGCTAGTACATGTTAGCTGCAGCTCGCCCAAATGCCAGGCTGTAAAACTGACTTGTGGGCTTTCGCATTTTGCGAGTTGTTCATTGAGATTTTATCTGAGATGATATTTGTCTGTCTTGATATTTTGAGGTCTTGAAGCCATTTAGCAGGTGGTGGGACGAATCTGTTTTCATTCAAAAGGTTTAATTTTTTTCTGCATCTGACAAATTTCAGTAGATTAAATTTTGTGCTGAAGTGACATCTGTTTTTTTTTTTGCCTTAGGTTGATGTCTTCTTGTGTTAATGAATTTCGTGGCCGCTTGTCATTTGAAGCCTGTCCGTTTCCTGTTTGTAGATTTTCTGTGGTGTTTGGTCCCAGGGGTTTTAGGGGTTACAAGCAAATAACCATTTTTATAAAGACATTTAGCGTCACCAGTTTCCTCTGAAATGCATAGATCTGAATTACTCTGTGTATTAGTGGTCACCAGTTGTTTTGTCTGTGAATGTAATGATTCCCAGCTCTCTAGAATTGTTTGCGGTAAAATTTCATGGATAGTGATCAACAGGACAAAATCTTTAAAAAGCAAGAATTATAGCTGACATTGAAGCTTTACCAATAATATTATTGAGAATGATACCCTTTTTTAGATAACCAGAGTCCTTGGACTGGAAGGTGATGCTATGTAATTACTCATTTTTCAATTACTTTTGGAATTAGCATTTGCCTTATCCCGCTAATTCTTCTTATCCTCCTCTACTTCTTGACCGATTCAAATGGCTGCAGCTGAAATTCACACTCTTGGTGTCAAATCTATAGATGAGCAGTAAAAAGACTATTATTATAGATTTCTCTGAAATGTCAGCAGCCTTTTTGCAACCATTGGAAGAGCTAAAAATTAAATTAAACTTTTGCGGAAGCTGGTGGTGTAATCCCCAAAACTTCATTTCCTTGTAGGTCCCTGAGCCAAGCTCAGAAGACAGTCAAGTTTTCTGCACGTTTTAAGCTCCTTTGTCTCGAAAATCTCGCAGCAGTCATGTAAACCATCAATAGAAAACGTAATGTGTATTAATCAAAATCACGTGCATGATCGTGTTGGTTAATGTCTTAGAGATGACTGATAATGGCTCGCGCAATTAACTGGCAAAACTGACCAATCAGAGGGTATACCAGGAGCTGGTACACTGGAACAGGTCATTTAAAGAAATGATTACAGGCTCTGCCACCCTCCATCTCCCCAGTTTCCTCCCGTTTTATTTTCGTGTTGCGCTTTCTCACTTTTGCAGACCCAACTATCTCGGATCCTGAAACAGCTAGGCTACTTTGTTCTGGAAGACGATCGATCGAATCACCCTTAGTTGCCAAATGGCATTTTTAATTAGGTTTTAGTCTGACATTCTTGTGCTTCCGTTACGTGACATTAAAATGTGTTAAGAATACACAAATGTTTGTTTGTAAGAACATGATTAAGGCAAAGCAGAGCTGTGAGTCCAGACTGAGACTTCTGTACTGCTGATGACTTTTTCGGTGTACCGAGTTTTGTGTATTGAAAATTCAATCCTCTTCTTCCTTACATTGTATATTTTCTAAATCTTGGATAAAGTAAATAAGGTTATTCAAGTTCAAGAATGACTTCACAACTGTTACATGAATTTCTCAAACTCATTAATTATTCATGAGGGCAACAACCAATACATGAGGCATATTTGGGTCACATGCATGAACCTTGATACCCAATGAACACTCAGATGAAAATCTTATGGATTTTGATCTGAGATCAAACATGGTTTCAATCTCAGATCAAATACATGCATTTTAATGAGCATTTTTCGATAATTAATACATCATCAACAACAATCCTAAAATTACCTGAATATTATTTGATATAATTAACCTTGATAGTGTAGGATGCCACAAGCTATTCCATAAACAGGCTTTGGTGGATATCTGTCCCTCGACTTCTCGGCCACCTCCATCAAGCCAGTAATTCAAGTTTACTACATCCATTTCTTCAATGTGGGTAGACAGCCGTGCGACCTTGTGTAAATCATACTATCATAGTTTTTAAAGAGCCCTCCTGGATCTAAAACAGGAGCTTTAACCGACCGAGAAATTTGCCATTCGCTAAAAATTGTTACTGCCCATTTGTTCTTATATTTGGTTGACGAGGGAATAGCTTTTCTGACTAACTCGCATTCTTCGTAAATCATTTTCGGCTCCCTAAATCTTCCCTCCCCATCTTCACTTATGGTCAGACACCAAAACAAGTAATCATGCATGTTGACACAATGTTACGGAAAATGGGAAGATTGCATCGCAAAAAAAACAATAGCAAAAAAATGGATCACTGCATATTTTTTTATTGTTTTGTTTCAGAAGTCATCTCAAAGACTCATGCTTCGGGTTTCATCAGGGGTTCCAAACACCTTGAAACAATAAAAGCACTCGGCCTGGAGTTACACCAGTAACAAAATTAATCTGGCCAGGCTGCTTCAAGAGCATGATGGCTTTGTGATTGTTCCTCAGATATCAAGAATATCCTTCATGTGTTTGCAAGAAATTTGCCATGAAAATTCACAATAGAAAATGATACTTGTAAGGAAAGTGGCGATAATGGTTTTATGTCATTTCTCTTCTAAGAAATGTGAAGAAAAGTCTACCCTACTTCATGCTACTTGGAAATCAAGTCTTTCCCCAGTTTTGTTGGCCCAAAATTATCCAATATAATAATAACACAAAAAGTTGGGCAACAGGTATTTTGAAAGCATTTTATAGAAATGACAACTTGTCAATTACATTTCAGTGGTGGCAACCATAAGCCAAACCCATCATCAACAAAAATTGACGTCGATTAATTGTTCAATGTAAAAGTCTAAGGGGGGACCTGGCCACTTCAGCAGTCTTCACAGTTTCACTGATACTGGCGAATCTCCACCTTGATGAAATACTGCTCTTTCCTAGTGAAAAGAATGTCTAGAGTGCATCATGAATTTGGGGGAAAAATTGAATATTAAGGTCATGGAAATTAGTGCACCACTTTATTCATGGTGTGGTTATTCACATTACAGTGTAACAGAAATTGATTTGACTTTAATTAATGCTAATCTTTGAAATTTGCATTAGTTTCATGAAGTGTTAATTTCTCGTAAAAAATTGTCTAGCTCTCCATGTTTTCTCTTCAACCAAAGGCTTGCCCACAAAGAGTTACTACAGGAAGCAAAACAAGCTCGGTCAAGAGCAGAAACAATGGGTGCAGCAGGCTGGTGAGTTTTTTTTTATGAAAAACATATCCAGGATGGTTTCCATCTTTCCCAACAAAAGTTAATATTATTATTAATTATTATTAAAAAGCAATATTAAAAAATGTTCCCCAAGGCGGTATTAGAGAAAGATCAAAATTAATTTATGACTGGTGTTATACTTTGGAGTTATCATGACAACTTCTTGATGTCATTACTTATAATACCTACAGGGTCCTATTTTTTGTTACATTGCTCACTGGATCTTGTACCTCCTGTAGCGTCTTTGGTGTTCATAGTTTGAGCGAATTCTATAAGAATACTTAAATGAAGAGATCAACTAAAAAATGCATTTGCATCTTGTGAAGACTAAAATACGTAGGCACGAGTAACGGAGATACTTACCAGGAGACACAACGATTGGAAAACTGAAGAAGTGCATTGGGGGCAGTATTTGCTTACCCCTAGAAGTTTCTGTTGACTGGTTATTAGTTGCTACAATGTATTCCTTGTTTCTTTGCTCATGACATGGTGGCACCTACCCCAGAACACAGGAACTGGCTTAGATCTAAACCGGGCGGTAGGAGATGTTCCGTCATGGTCAGTTATAATTTAGTTAAAAAATGAAAAATGAACCTCAATGTTAAAGTCCTATTGTAATATTTTTATTTCAGGCAAAAATGTCCTATTCCTGCAACAAACAAAAGGTTCCTTCGCAATGCCCTTCTAAACACACTTGAACCAAAAAGAAAGAAATCCAGACCAGGTACTGAAAATTGAATCTTCAAATTATGCAGTAAGATCATGCGGGATACATGCACAGTGCAGTCACTCAGTTGCTTTTGTTAAAGTCTACATTAATGCCACCCATTCAACCACTTTGCTCTGATTGATTGCTTTTCTCCAGATTTTGAGAGATAAGACCTATTGATTATTCACTCCCAGAGTGAATGATGGAGTCTCGTAAGGTGCCGGGTTCTTATTTTTGAGTCTCCAGACAAAATATTGGAGTGTGGCCGTTCAAATGAAACCTCTTTCAGCTCTTTGCGGTAGTACTTTCACATAGTGCTGTTTTTTTATGTCTTGCAAGCATACCTTGAACAAAATGAATTTTTTTTCCCCAAAAGTAAATCAGAGTAAGAGAAACATTTTCTTATTCACTTGTCCCTCCGACAAGCACTATATTAAATTTGGTTGTCCAATACCCAAGAGTTCTTATCCAAAATGTTTTGCCAGGTTCCTAAGCCAAATGGAGCTCGTAAAAACAAATGAAATGGTCGCGGTATAGCAAAGTTAAAAGGAATATTTAACCTTATTTTGTCAAGTATGATCGAGGTTTGCTTTTATGACTATAAGGTAAAAGGTTTACATGTCCGAACTAAATTGCCTTAACGTTAACTAGTAATAGTTGACACTACAGCTGCCCCCGCTCTGTATATTGTAGGTCAATAGTATTCTTTCTCGTTTTGTAGCCGTCTTTGAAATATACCGATTCATAATGAAGATGTTCACACATATTTTATACAATAGGTGAGATAAACGCAAGGTTCCATGCACAGTTTCGGTTCGATTCACACAGCTTTGATCAAAACATTTTCAGTTTTCAGTTAAAAGATTTAAATAGAAGTTTAATTTTTCGCTATTTCTATTTCACTTTTTACATTTAGTTCATTTCATTTGCCGGAAAGTAGGCCTTAGAAATTAAAAGGACGTTTGATCAATTCACGCTCGCGCATTCTAGTCTTATTTTAAACTTATATGGCGGAAGGACATCTGTGTGCAGGGAATAAGTCAGCACAGAATTTGATGGTCGTCGAATTTCTGTAATCGTTCATCGTTCTGCTTTTGATGTATAAGCTAGCCGTTGAATCATTCACTCGTCTTGCTTGTTTGGGGTCGAGACTTATTCCAGGGGCACCCAACGAGAATATAGTTCAAAACCACTTAAACATAGCATTGTTAAACGTGTTTTAGTATTTAAACGGTGCATATGGGCATATTTTTATCCCCTATAATTTTTTCAGCTGTTCGGATTTCCTAGCTGAAAGTCTAGTGATCCTAAAATTATAGGGATCAAAACTTACCTGTTCGAAAATTTCAGCCATAAAAAAGGCTCCCGAAAATTCTAGGTGACCTTTTTAGGGTAAAAATCCGTTGAAAATGGGCAATTTTACCATTTTTTAGATGTTCGAAAATCCTAGGCGAGGCAGGCAAGCAAGAAATTTTACAACAAATGTTCCGAAAATTCTAGATCTCAAATCGTCTTCCGAACAGATATTTTTCCGAAATTTGTCGTTGGGTGCCCCTGTTATTCCGGTCAAAGAAAGAGAAAGAGTGTCTGGTAAGGTTTCCAATCAAAGATTTGTGACCTCGTGTCTGGCAAACTCACTTGGTGTTAAAATATACATTATTATACGCACCTTATAACGTCATCTGTTCTTAACGAGTGTCTTCTGGTCCATAACTTTGATAACATTCTGCTCCACGGAATGTCACTGATAACACGTAACGCAAGGAGTATCGAAGTACGACTGCACAATTAATGTAACAAAATCTACCTATTGTAAGCGGTCCCTTCGGGATTTTTTGTGTTTTACGTCATCCTAACCATTTCGTACTTGCGGGCGCAAACAATAGAAACGTCATCATTACCTACCGATTCGTCGCGTCCCCTGTTCAAGCAAATCGAGATTTTTTTCTATATTAACTGTATGACTGTATATTTCAGCTGTAGGTACTTTCCTTAATATACCTGCGAGTTACTAGAGTGCGTCCTCGGGATTTCGCCTTCTAAGCGAAATCCCTGCGGGAATTATGGTCACGTGACAAGGATATGAAAATGAAGGAAATTGGTCAATTGGTGGCGAATTTACTTTGTTTGATAAATAACTCGTCGTTTCTGATAGAGGGTAAACATACCTTACTTTCTTCGTTTAGGATGAACTCATAATTTTTTATTTTACATGTCCGAACTAAATTTCTACTTGCCCCGGACAATCGGGCATAGGTTTTGGCGCACCCTGTAAATCTTGAGGTCCTCTTGTGCCTTAACGTTAAATTATGGTCACTTGACATGTCACGTGACAAGGAATTGAAAATGAAGGAAATTGGTCAGTTGGTGGCGAATTTATTTTGTTTGAATAAATAACTCGTCGTTTCTGATAGAGGGTAAACGTACCTTACTTTCTTCGTGTGGAATGAATAATAAAATAATAAATAATAATATATAGATTTAGCCAGGGTTAAAAGCGAGGCTCCCATTAATATCTTTATAATTTAAATCAAACAATAAACTTGTATTCCACAATTCAGTGAACTTTAGAGCACATAGCACATTCATGTGACTTTTGAGGGAAAGGCTAAGTGATTTTAAGAGAAAAATAATTTGCAAACAGCCCAAGAGGGAAGAAAATCGTACATCGAGTTGATAACCTCATATATACATCCAAAAAATAGCAATCATCTTCGATCACATTTAAGAGCCATAATGGCTCTTGATCATCGTAAGATTAATTAGGCCTGGGAAAAAAAATCAGGTTGAATTTTTTTGCGTTCGACAAGTTTACTTCACAAAATCTTGCCAACAAATCTGGTTGCGTGCTAACCAACCTTTTATACCATTTATACATCACATCTGAGGTGAAACAGTACTATGAGGTACTGTTTTTATCATACAGACCTCGGACAGAATGCAGTATTTCACAATTTTGCAACAGAAGTTATTCAATATTCAGGACGATGGAAGCACGGGTGGGCTTTTAGCTAAACCGTTAAAAAATTTCCAAAATCACATATACAGCCAGCCGGTTCTCACTTTTGCAGTGCGAGCTGTAGCGAATGTTTAAACGAACATTCTAGAGTTAATTTTTAACATAATAAAGAAATTATTATGTTTATTTTTTATTTAATGGTTTTATCGATCTGTAATCTTTAAAAGCGTTTGATACGCGCGGCATTTTGAGTACTCCTGCAAGCGATGTTCACTGAACGACTGAAAACAAACGGCACAGCGATTAAAATTACAAGAGAGACTACCAACAATCAATAAAAGAAATATAATTCGGCGAAACATATACAGAGACAACATTTTTGATTCACGAAGACAAATATCTAAGTGTCTCTAAAAATCGTGAGTCTTAAAGCTTAAGTTTATGTTTTAAAAGGGGCACCCAACGAGAATATAGTTTAAAACCGCTTAAACATAGCATTGTTAAACGTGTTTTATTATTTAAACGGTGGATTTGGGCATATTTTTATCCCCTATAAATTTTTCATCTGTTCGGATTTCCTAGCTGAAAGTCTAGTGATCCGAAAATTATAGGGATCAAAACTTACCTGTTCGAAAATTTAAGCCAAAAAAAAAGGCTCCCGAAAATTCTAGGTGACCTTTTTAGGGTAAAAATCCGTGTAAAATGGGCATTCTTACCTTTTTTTAGATGTTCGAAAATCCTAGGAGAGGCAGGCAAGCAAGAAATTTTACAACAAATGTTCCGAAAATTCTAGATCTCAAATCGTCTTCCGAACAGATATTTTTCCGAAAATTGTCGTTGCGTGCCCCTGTTTTAAGCCGGCTTCCTTGTATTCACTTTTTTCACAGATGAACTCGAGGCAAGAAAATCGCTCAAAGCTTTCTTTTACAGCCAGAATTATAACTAAATGTTCTTTGGAACGTTTTCTTTCTATCTGCTGTGAGAAAATGTCTAAAGACTTTTTCAAGTTGTGTAAGCTTATATCAAGTTTACCTGATTCTTGGTCAGATCAAATTGTCTCAAATCTTACAAACGTGCATAAACTACATAGCCGCATAAACTACGCGCGACTTCTTTAAATTAGATATAAAAAACAAACATCAAAGAAAATAATTACTGAGGCTTACCATTCGAGATGCAGCTCCTGAAAGGTATCAAGTAAGGCCAGTATCGCTTCAGACTTTTCAACCTTTACGCATCAAGCAAGGTGAAAAACAAAAACGTTGCCATCCGAAATCGGATTCCCGACTTTCACAAGTGATGTATTAATTTCTCAACCAAAAACCAACTAGCCATGAGTAACGGAAGACTCCTGATAGCAGCTGAATTTCATTTTGTGCATCCAGTGGAAAAAGACAGTTAAAAACATCACAACTTGACACAAAACTCTGTCAGCTTCACCTGTCAAAGTAAACAAGATTCAAGATGCTGCATAAATTTTCCGCATGAGCTCACCTGTCAAATTTTGACCAATCAGAGCATAAAAAGTGGACGTAGAGCGTGACCAACGCGTGACCATGGTGAGCAAAGTCAAAACCACTGTCTTGCCTGTAATAGCTGGCTGAATTTTCGGGTCCGAGGTCAGTTTTAAATCAAAATTTTAATTGTGCGGCCCAAAAACAAAACATATTTCATATGAATGAAAAAAATCAAACTCGAGCCTGCGATCATTTGAAAACTAGTAACTTGTCAGCGGATAACTTCAAAAAATACTTGACCTCGATGGGTGAACACCTGAGCCCGCGATACGGTCAAGTGCTACTGGTCAGCGGATACCCTGTTTTGACAGCTGTCAATTGATCAAGACATCCAATGGATGTGTGCATTATCAGTTTTCCAGTGCTTTCAAACTAGCTAGAAAGTATGAGATTGAACATTGATCGCGATCTAGTAAAACAACTGGTCAGCGGACAGCTTCCAAATAAATCACGTCACCTTGATGAGTTGACGCATGAGCCCCCGATATGGCAATGTGATACTGGTCAGTGGCTATCCTGTTTTGACAGCTGTCAATTGACCATATCGTGAATGGCTAATGTAAAAGATGTGGATTTGCCAAGACACGCCTGAGACACCCCTCCCCTCCTTTTGCTAGTCTCCCCTACCCTACCCGTACAATCTGTAGACGCGTACGTACGCTCGGTCAGTCACTTGACAACCAAAAGAAAAGAGGTTGACCATATTCTATGAGTATGGGGCTCTGTCCCACGCGCGCTTCGCGCGCGAGGGAGCCCCGCTAATATATAATTTATTTTTATAGAGCATTTTCCTAACGCCCAAATGCGCTTTACAGTGTCAGATATATTATAATCTATACACTAAAAAATGTAAAAAATCCTAAGAATCGAAAAAATCAAAAGTCTAAAAGTCCTAAAAATCAAAAAAAGAAAAAAAATTGAAAGTCTAAAAATATGCTTTTCGAAAAAGATAGGTCTTAAGCTTAGCTTTAAAGATAGAGACAGAAGCGCTGCTTTTAATCTCAAATGGAAGCGAGTTCAAGAGGTAAGGTGCGCACACTGAGAAAGCCCTCAAGCCAATCAATTTGAGCTTGTGCGTTGGCTGCTCCAGTAGAAGTTGGTCAGCAGACCTAAGAGCTCGCCTAGGAACATAAGGACTGATGAGCTCAGTCAGGTACGTTGGAGTCTGTACAATAGGATCTTTAAAACAATACGCTGACGGACGGGGAGCCAGTGTAGCTCAATAAGTAGTGGTGTGGCATGATCAAACGTTCGCTTGCAAGTGATCACTTTGGCCGCCGCGTTCATAACATATTGTAGTCTCTGAATAAGATAATCAGGTAGGCCATAGAGAAGCGAATTACAATGATCTAAGGGAGACGTTACTAACGCATGCACTAGTGTTTTGGTTGAGTCAATACTAAGGCATGGACGTATACGACTAATGCTTCTGATGTGATAAAAAGCCGTCCTGCATAGTTCATTGACGTGTTCCTCGAAACTCTCTGCAAATTTCGAAGCCAGCACTTTGCAAAACTATTTTGTCGTCTTCTTTCGTCTTGGAGTCGAGGGCAAAAACGGACAAGCTATTTTTTCTTCCTTGGAGGCATTCACTTCCAAAATCCAGGGAAGAACAGTGAGCACTATACTTGTAGACCACGATTGCTGTCAAATTGCGTGATTAGCTTGGTTCAACAGCGACATGCGTTTCAAGTATGACAGCACTTGTCAGCGATCAATTAAAATGATTAGCACAGAAAAAACTTTTGCGCTCCATAAGAAAAAACATTTTTCCTGAAATTTATTTGAAAAGAAAGCTCTTGATGAGCTCTACTTAATCATCTAAAAATTGAAAATTTCGAAGAATGATGATTTTTACCCTGGATGATACCTTAAGTAAAAGCGCTTGTCTTTAAAGAACCAATTAGCTTTTAAAACTAGAGGAATCAAGTCGTCAGAGTTAAAAATTGTTTCATTAGGTAGAATCGCACGTGAAAACCTCGTGAGTTAATATAATGATGCAACCATCTACCACACTGATGAAAATCTGATTTCTTTACTGTTCTGTATTCGGCCGTCGATAAAACCCGGAACATGGAACATCCCGGAACATTCCGGAACATTCCGGAACATTCCGGAACATTCCGGAACATCCCAGAACATGAAAAAATTAAAATATTTTTTTATGAAAAAATGATTAATTAACTAAATAATAATAATAATAATAATAATAAATAATAAAAGGAACAATAGATAGAAAACAATTTTTGCAAAAATTTATAATAACAAAATAAATAACATAACATAAAAACGAAAAATAAAGAAACACACCAAGAAAGAAAGAAAAAGAAACTGGTATCATCTCCGAGCACGAGAAAACAATATTTTGTTGCAATGAATTTTCTGCAGTGGGCGAGTAAGGGTCCATTCAAATGACAGTCCCCAGTCATCCTACTCACCCTGGTCACCCTAATGAGTGAAGGCTTGCTTCTTAATTCAAATTATATTAAAATGGGTCGCGAGGAGAGGGTTTTCAGGCTTTCGTCACACAGCCACCTCTTGTAAAGGTTTGCCATGTGGTTTAACGGTTATCCATTTACGGCTTTGCGACCGAAAGAAGAGCTTAGGGGCTTGTCGCTTTGGACTTGGATAATTAAATTAAAGATTCAAATTCACCGTGAATAGTTGCAGTGGCAGTTATCAGTTAGCCTGAATTTTAGCCGTCTCCCCGCAAACTCCTCCTGCGACTAGAGGAGACTTCTGAAATATCATGCTGACTGTAAACAGTATAGAAACTACTACGAATGTGAGTATTGTCCACTAAAATCCAAAGACAGGAGCCCCTATACTCTTCTTAAGTTCACAGAGCCGCCTAGTCTGTAAGTAATTCATGTTCAAAGAAATCAAAGCACCTCAAGTAAGCAAATGTCGGTTATAAGTAAGGAGACTATATGTTGGCTTGAAATGAGCTACTTACCGACTTGGCTTGACATGATATACTGCACCGACATTTCAGACCATTGCATAACCGTAAATGGATAACCGCCAAATAATTAACTCCCGGCAAACAATTACAAGAGGTAACTGTGTGAGGAAAGCTTAAAAAAGCCCCCTCCTCGCGACCCATTTTAATATATTTTGAATTTAGAAGCAAACCTTCACTCGTTACTGTCATTTGCATGAACCCTCACTCGCCCAACAAATTTTAATTTGTTGCGACAAAATATTGTTTTCTCATACTCACAGAGGAAATCAGTTTCTTTTTCTTGACTAATTGATTATTTTTCGTTTTTCTTTTGTTATTTTACGTTATTATTAATTTTTACAAAAATTATTTTAAAAATATTATTATTATTTTATTATATTTTTTTTCATGAAAATTATTTTTATTTTTTCATGTTCCGGGGTGTTCCGGGATGTTCCGGAATGTTCCGGCATGTTCCGGAATGTTCCGTGTTCCTGGTTTTATCGACGGCCTCTGTATTCAATGAGCCAGATTATCGTAGGAAACGTTTGAAACATTTTCCAGTCTTCCTTCGACGCAACGTGTGTTGAGTTGATATTCATTGTACTTTAAACAATTTGTTTAATTTGCACCAGATGTCTGGAGGAAATACAAAGAAAAAATAATCTAAAGCACGAGAATCGACTCAGCTGTACAGCAATCCCCAATTTTGCCAAAAAAACGGTTTACATTTAGGATAAAAGGGGTGGATCCTTGGTACGGTTACACTGAAGCATTCAAAATAGCTCATCATGCCTATGTTGTCAGTTGTGAGGAATCTAGGCATTCGTTATTGAAGCTACCAACAATGCTTGGCGTTGTTTTTGCGACCCGTGGTTTCAATTTGTTTCTTTGCTTTTCGCATGAGGCTATTGTCTATTTTTTTACGCACGTGCGGAGTCCAACTTCTTTTACATGTCGTTTATCGATTCATGGTCCTCGGAGAAGCTAAAACAATTTGCTACTTTGTCGCTATTTACTGCCGTGGCAATGAAAAACCACCCACCTCACAGCAAATGTAACCCACCTGACAAACTGTTTCAATCTCTTAGTGATCGTTATCAGAGAAAACAATGGCTACAGCCGTTATTTGATACTTTTCTTCTCTTTCAGATAATAAACAACAGGAGATTAAGATGAAAGGTCCTAAACCTTACAGGGAGAGCAACTGCAAGACGACATCTTTTGCGGACAAAAAGAGGAATAAAGAAAAGCAGAAATGCAAAACCATTTCGACAACATCTGCTAAATCTAAGCAGAAATGAAAGCCAAGTTAAAATTATTGCTACCCGCTACCTAGGATGTTCGCGCGAAAATCTTCCATAAAAAAATAATATTTATTTTTTGGTAAACTCTCGCGACCTTTAGGAAATAAGTCAGTTGTGTCGGAAATTCCAATTAAAGGGGGACAGCGGAATCGATGCGGAGATAAAAAGTAGTTACGTTCTAATTCGCTTCGCTCAAACGAAACGTAAATCATTTTACCCTTAAATTCCCGTAATACAAACAAATCAGACGAGAAATATGGCAGAATGCGCAAGCAGATCCAATACAGTTTATTTTAAGATAGATAGTTACTAATACAGAATAGACTGCAAAAAAAATTACAAAGCTGTTTTTTTTGTTTTGTTTTTTACAATTCTTTTCTTTTCAAGAAGTCTTTCTGGAATCGAGTTACTACTATTACGTACCACAGATGTCTTTTTTTGTCTTCAAGATATCTTTACAAGTAGTATAAGAAATCTTTCCACTTCTCAGGGTTTAGCTAGAACTACTACGGTGAAAAACAAGCGGTCTAAACAAAGGGAGAGAACTACATAAGTCAATACCAGATGGATCTAAATACCTTTGTAAAACACCAACAGGACAATACTTAGACCTGGATGCGCTAATAAAGACGTAATAGCCTCCCCTATAAACATTTGTCTCACTACGAGGTACAAAAATTCTTATACAATCGCTGTGGAATTCAACATATATTTTTTTAATTAAAATATATTTATTGATAATCACATTAAATAATTACATTTACAATACTACAAAAAAAACCTCTTTAACAATAGACATTAACAGAGTAAAGCAAAATTAATTGTTAAATTATTACAGGGCTGAAAGAAATTTAAAAAAGTACAACAGGCCAATGAAATAATACGGAGTTAATGCACCTATCAATGTAAAGCCGGCGGGGGGGGCAGGGCATGGGGTGGGGATTTGATTGTCTTTGTTGGCCCTGGGGTAGGGATTTGACTGATCTTGTTGTCCCAGGGGAGGGGATATTCGAATCTTTTTTCGCCCGACGTGGAGATATCTGACTGCCGACTCGGACGAAAAAGACTGAACATATGTTTCCCGCTTCCACGCTTCACGCATGCACCGTACGGTTTGAAAGTCATGGAGGCCAATGAGAACTAGCCTGTGTACGGACGTCCCCCCTGTTTTAGCGTGTTTTTGATCAGTTAAATCTCTTAAAATACTGTGGTATCAAAGTAAATGGAAGTAAAGAGAAAGCAAGTCGATTTTTGCAAGTACAATTGATTAGTGTATGGCTCGTTCGCTACAATCACAGTAAACTTATAAAACTGACTTTCTTTGTACCCTTTACTAAGAACGGTATAATTTTTAAACTTGCAAAATGTGGACTCTCTCCTAAAGGTTTATGTATTCTACGCAGTATAACACGGATTATGGTTAAAACGTATAATTGCAGCTGTAACAGGAACATGGTGATGCAGCAACGTTTATAAAAGATTGCAGAGTTTTATTTGGAGATATTTTTATTGTGCCTTTCTTGGGCTCTGCCTTGGGATTGACAGCAATGTGCAGCCTGGGGTGGGGAAATTTGGTTGCATTTGACTGGAATGGTTTTCCCGTGGGCAGGGAATTTGATTGCAAATTTTTGAAAAAAGTCAAATCCCCACCCCATGCCCTGCCTTCCCCCCCCCGCCGGCATTACATTGATAGGTGCATAAGACAGTTAACTTAAATAAGGCGTCAGTATCCACTTTGTTTTAAAGAATTCTTTGTTACTGATTTTTTCTTCTGTTTCATATTTAGCGATGATCTTCGACCTAAATCCATAAATGTTTGGAAGGATTTGTTTGCCCCTTCAGTCCCACAAATAGAGTTCTCCAATAATCATAAAATAGTTGAGCAATTGAAGTAAAGGGCAAGCATTTTCCGTCAAAATTCCAAAGAGCACATTTTCCAAGCAGAGACGAATTCGTTGATTTGAAATAAGGCAATGCTTAGGATCGATATTGCATAATTCATAATAATTCATCATAACGAAAAAATCCTGCAAAAGCTAAATAACGTTTATAGTTGCTACTTAGGTCATCGCTTTTGCACGCGGTGCTTAACTGGCGAAATCCACTCCACGGTGATGACAAAAACCAAATGATCCTGGCACTTTTTCGACGCTGATCATCGAAAAGTTCCAAATCGTCCACAGAACGCTTATTCGTCGACTCTTTTCAAGGTGCATGCTTGAATGTGGGATACATGACGGAAAAAAAAAAACGCGCACACACACTCACAAAGATAATCTTTCCGTGATCCTCAGTTAGATGCCTTTGTCGCTTCACGCTTAGTCTCAGTCGGGTAATTCATTAACTTTTATGTCATGATACCCAGATCCCAGTGGCTGTAAAATTGTAAAAATGGAAGTATAGTAAAAAAAAAAAAACGGTCGAAGGACTGGCTTCTGAGTTCGACTTCATCCAACTTCATTTTTTTCACGCGGACATACGAGACTCGCGGAAATATGACACTTTTCGCGGGAAACAAGCCGTTCTATTTATAAATCTACTCGGGAAAGGGTTGACTCAAGAAATTAATGGAGATGGAGGCTCCATTTGATGGGCTCCTGATATTATTATGCAAGTTAAGAAATAGACGACGCACAGGATATATGCAGTTAGTCCAGTCAAATTGTGGTTTAGCATCAAAGTAATTGCAACAGATTTTTTTCAACGCCATTAAATTGTTGGATGGCTATTTAACAGCATACTAAAAATCCGCCAAAATCAGTTCGGTGAAAGATGTGAAAAATTGGAAATAAAGATTTTCAACTTTTACCACAGGACACCCAATTTCAGGAAGATCACAAATTCAGACAAAAAAAGTCTGATAATTGTGTTCTTTTTTCTCAAGAATTTTCGATGGAACATCGCTAATGTTTTTTGGGTAGTTTTCTTTTAAAAAAATGCTGACAAAATGTGTGAGAAACACGTAGGTCAGTGTTTCGTCTTGAAGGCTTTGCACAGGCTACCCAGCCACTCGTCTGTCTTCACATTCTGTTTTCCAAGCTTTAACTGTTTTTTTTGACGGTATTTAAAATGGAAATTATCAGTCAGTCTGTGTTAACATGGTTAAAATATTAGCAATTGTTTTTTTTTTGCGCAATATCATAAATGTAGTAAGTATGAGCAGTTTTACATCAGGCTTGTAATTTTTTTATATCCTGCAGCATGTATGCAGATTCAGAGTAGCTGACTGATGATGAACAATTTGATTTGATATTCTGTTCACCTTTGGTCAGCTACTTAATTTGAATCCATGCTGCAAGATACGTGCGACTAAATGTTTGCAACGGACGATAGCTTTGTATTAGTACAAACTGTTTATCCTATTCCCATTTTGCGCAAAAAATCTTGGACAATATATGTGATCGAAATCAGGGATTCTTTTTATTTCTCACGACATGAGCAACCTTTTTTATGATTACGACACTGTACTTTAGAATGTGAGTGAATAAATATTCTGCTAAGAACTCCGTCTGTTTGGTTTTTGCTTGATCGTAACGCTCTGCGCTTTTCATTACACAAGGCCGAATTTGTAGTAAGGGAAATCCAGAAAACCAAGCGCAGTATGATTGTTCTTTTTTTCAATCTTCTTCTTGTAGCGAGTCTCAGATCTCAGTTTAGTTTAGTGTATCTCTGTCAGTTTGTATTTTCTGCGTCAGCCCTTCATTTCTTGGTAAGATGAATAAGTAGATTAATCGCTCTGTGGTCTAAAGGCGTTTATATTCCCTCCTTGCATTTCGTTTCTGAGAACAACCATGACCCTTGACCAGTTTTTTCTCGTCCATTGGCAAATGAAGACCTCTTTTTCTTAACGATCATGAGATCCTATACGTCTGAAAATAATTGCAGTGGTCAATGAAGGTGCCAAAGTACTGGACACATCTACAAAATTAATAGGCTTGCCTGACTTAGCTTCTTATGGCTCACCTCTTTTTGCGGAACCTATGTTTCTCTTCGGATGTGCGTTTTGTAACACTTCAACTTACTACATGTTAACCTTATGACTGAGTTGGGTAAATTATGCTCTGCGCGGGGAATTTCCATTACTCCATAGACTCTTACAATATATTTTTACATACGCATTGTTTTGGCTACCCAGAGTTTGTCTTTCCCATAAAAAGCAGCTTCCCTATTATACTATTTCGTTTTCTTGAAACAAACGTTTGCTGGAACCAAAGTTCTTGCATTTCCCTCTTGTCAAATTCATAGGCATTGGAGCTTAAACTGCTTAAAGACTCTGCAATGTTGTACATCGTAAAGGATTAGTTAAACTGTCCTCCCCTCCTCTCCATTCACTTTTAACAAGAAGAAAACGAAAAGCTTCAAAGTGAAACTGGTATATCGTAAAAGCCTGCAAAGCATTATCTTGCTAGATTTTTGAGAACGTACCGAACAAAAATTGCGGTCTTTTGACTGAGAAAAAAGACCAAAAGCCGAAGGCAAAATGAGCCCGAAAATCCTTCTAGAAAAGAACAAGGAAAGGGAAAATAGAGTGAGCGAAGAAGAGAAAGGAAGAGAAGAAAAAAAAGCAATTACTGCACTGCTAGTTTTTTTACCTCTGTTTGAGAGCCCTATTTTGGCTGTAACGTTATTCAAAAATCTAGCTCTAATATATATTTCTTTTACCCTTGTGCCTAACACAAATCTGATTTAAAAAGGATATATTTTAAAATATAATGATTAAGTAAAGGCTTTCATTTTTCAGATTTAAACCCTTTCGACTAAATTTGTTGTAGTTTTACAGCCTAAAGTTTACTCTATTAATCTGTAAGCCTCCTGTTATTTTGGGGTTCCTTGAGCAAAGCATGGGCTTCCTGTGCAAAAGTCAACCGGTTAAATATTTAACATTTTTGAAAAAAAGAAACACCTCTTTTTTATCACCAAAGGCTAGGTAGCAGTTATTCTTTCTTCTTTCACTTTCCATAAAAGTAACAAACACATTTTGCGCATTTTTCGTTTGAACATATTATTTCAACTAACGTGGGCGCCCCGTGCTAAAAGCTCAAAATGTTTCACGCTAAATTTTGACATGTTCCACCGAACGGATTGTGGCTGATTTTTAGCATGTTGCTAGATAGGCCACCCTTACTTAAATGGCGTTGAAAACAATTCTGTTGCAATCAGTTTGATGTTGAGCCTAAAAAATGCCTTCATTGACTGGACTATACAAATACGGCACAACAGACGCTTCAGATTAATGCTGGCATTATCAAGATGGTCTGTAAAGGATAACATAATTGTAAAGAAAGGCTTTCAAAGAAATATAATTGTAAATGCAAATTTAAGTACAGTATACAGGCTGAATTCAAGATTTTAGAAAGATAAAATCTTAAAGTCAGCCGAAATATCGAATTCAAGATTTTGAAAAGCTAAAATCTTGAAGTCAGCCAAAATCTTAAATTCAGGATTTTAGAAAGCTAAAATCTTGAAATGGGCCAAAATCTTGAACTCAGGACTTTAAAAAGCTAAAATCTTGACGCCAGCCAAAAATGATCTTGAATCCAAGATTTTGGAAAGCTAAACCCTTGAAGTCTGCGGATATCTTGAATTGATGATTTTGAAAAGCTAAAATCTTGAAGTCAGCCAAAATCTTGAATTCGAGATTTTGGAAAGCTAAAATCTTCAAAAAAGCCAAAATCTTGAATTTAGGATTTTGGAAAGCTAAAATCTTAAGGTCAGCCAAAATCTTGAATTCAAGATTATGGAAAGCTAAAATCTTGGAAAAAGCCAAAATCATGAATTCAAGATTTTTGAAAGCTGAAATCTTGAGGTCACCCACAATCTTGAATTTAAGATTTTTGAAAGCTAAAATCTTAAAGTCTTAAAGTCAGCCAAAATCTTGAATTTAAGACTATAGAAAGCTAAAATATTTGAAAAGGCCAAAATCTTGAATTCAGGATTTTGGAAAGCTAAAATCTTAAAGTCAGCTAAAATCCTGAATTCAAGATTTATGAAAGCTAAAATCTTCAAGTCAGCCAAAGTCTTGATTTCAAGATTTTGGAAAGACAAATTCTTTAGCTCAGCGAAAATCTTTCATTCACGACTTTGGAAAGCTTAAATATTGAAGTCAGCCAAAATCTTAGCTTTAAGATTTTTGAAAGCTGAAATCTTAAAGTCAGCCAAACTCTTGAATTCAAGATTTTGGAAAGTTAAAATTGTAGAGTCAGCCAAAATCTTGAATTCGAGATTTTGGAAAGCTAAAATCTTGAAAAAAGCCAAAATCTTGAATTTAGGATTTTGGAAAGCTAAAATGTTTAAGTAAGCTAAAATCTTGAATCCAAAATTTTGGATAGCTAAAATCTTGAAAAAAAAAAGCCAGAGTCATAAATTCAAGGTTTTGGAAAGCAAAAATCTCGAAAAAAGCCAAATCATGAATTCAGGATTTTAGAAAGCTAAAATCTTGAAGTAAGCCAAAAGCTTGAATTCAAGATTTTGGAAAGGTAAAATCTTGAAGTCAGCCAAAATCTTGAATTCAGGATTTTGGAAAGCTAAAATCTTGAAAAAAGCCAAAATCTTGAATTCTGGATTTTGGAAAGCTAAAATCTTGAATTCGGCCAAAATGTTGAATTCAGGATTTTGGAAGGCTAAAATCTTCAAAAAGGCAAAATCTTCAATTCAGTATTTTGAAAAGCTTAAATGTTAAAGTCAACCAAAATCTTGAATTCAAGATATTGGAAAGCTAAAATTTTGAAGTCAACCAAAATCTTGAATTCAGGATTTTGGAAAACTAAAATATTGAAGAGAACCAAAATCTTGAATTCAAAATTTTGGAAAGTTAAAATCTCCAAAAAAGCCAAATTCTTGAATACAAGATTTTGGAAAGCTAAAATCATAAAAAAGGCCAAAATCCTTAATTCAGGATTTTTAAAACCTAAAGTCTTGAAGTCAGCCAAAAGCTTGAATTAAAGATTTGGAAAGGTAAAATCTTGGAGTCAGCCAAAATCTTGAATTGAAAATTTTGGAAAGCTAAAATCTTGAAGTCAGCCAAAATGTTGAATTCAAGATTTTGGAAAACTAAGATGTCGAAAAGAGCCAAATTCTTGAACACAAGATTTTGGAAAGCTAAAATCATAAAAAAGGCCAAAATCTTGAATTCAGGATTTTGGAAAGCTAAAATGTTGAAAAAAGCCAAAATCTTAATTTTAAGATTTTGTAAAGCTAAAATCTTGAAAACAGCGAAAATTTATAATTTAAGGTTTTGTAAAGCTAACACCTTGAAGTCAGCTAAAATCTTGAATTGAAGATTTTGGAAAGCAATAATATTGAAGTCAGCCAAAATCTTGAATTCAACGGTTTTAAAAGCTAAAATCTTGAAGTCAGCCTAAGTCTTGAATTTAAGATTTTGGAAAACTAAAATCTTGAAGTCAGCCAAAATCTTGGATTCAAGATGTTGGAACAGCTAAAAACTTGAAGTCAGCCAGAATCTTGAATTCACGTTTTTGGAAAGCTAAAATCTTGAAAAAAGCCAAAATCTTGAATTCCAGATTTTGGAAAGCTAAAATCTTTAAAAATGCCCAAATCGTGAATTCAAGATTTTGGGAGGCTAAAATCTTGAAAAAAGCCAAAATCTTTAATTCAAGATTTTGGAAAGCTAATTTAGGAATTTAGGATTTTTTAAAGCTAAAGTCTTGAAGTGAACGGAAATCTTGAATTCAATATTTTGGAAAAGCTAAAATCTAGAAAGTAGTAATAGAGGTCTATTGGGTCACAAAAATTGATGGCTAACATGGTTAACATCCGTTGCTATGGATGCGAACGGAGTCGTAGCGAAATTGAGTGGGGCGAAATGTCTGTAATTTAGGTGAGTGCGTTTTCCCAAACCTGATAGAGTGCGAAATTGAGTGGGGCGAAATGTCTGTAACTGAGGTGAGTGAGTTTTCCTAAACCAAACCGAGTGCGAAATTTGAGTGAGGTGAACCGTCTGTAATTGAAGTGAGTGAGTTTTTCCCAAATCTAACCTAACTGAGTGAAAAGTAAATCAACGTGGTCACGGTTGATTGAAGACGGGCAAGTCCAGACATGCTCAATGACGTGTTTTTATTTTTAGATCATGACGTCATCCTTCACGTAACAATAGGCTATAAAACGATTGAACAACTCTGAGTTGGCCATTTGATTACATCACGTTGTACTGATCAGAGCTCTCACGATGCAGACCACTTACCCAAGACCATGTGAAAAATGCGGAAAAACGTACAGAAACAGATACGACTTTTTCCGTCATAAGAAATATTGTGGAACAAATGTTCAACTTCCATGTTTACATTGTGACAAATTGTTTTCAAGGAAGGATGCGATGAAGGCTCATGTCCGCAAGTTTCACTCTGAGGCAGCCAAACGAAAAGCGTCCGTGAATGATGAACTAGACCGTTTGGAACTCTTGCATGCTGACAAAGTTCCACGTTTGAACGTTGAAAGCCAGACAGGTGGCGCAGTAATGACACGTGGTACCAAACGTAAGAACGAAGAAGAAGACTCCAAAAACAATGTGAAAGAATCTAAACCAGACGACACAGATCAAACACTAGATACTACGGAGGAATATGGTAGCGGGCCAAATCCACTCTTTGTGGCGGATGTGAAGAAATTGGGACCAGCGAAACGCTGGAAAAACAATGCCGTAGTCAATCAAAAATTTATTCTGACCTTAGACCAACAACGCGCCGCTAAAGATCACGAAGATTTGAATATTGCAGCAACCCATGCTATAGCAACCGCAACAGATAATCTGATTGATGAATTGAAAATACCTTTCGATTATTGGATGACACATCAGATAGGTAGTCGAAAGCATCGTCGTGAGAGTTTGACAGGAGAAACATGGAAAGTTCCCGTGGGTGATTTTACCCAAAGAGCTCTGTTTACACAAGCAGTTTTGGCGAAACTTGCGAATGTACTAAACATTGGTGAGTTCATTACGAATGATGTGGGTTTTTCAGCCTCAGTGCCATTCAGCAGACCGGAACGAAAAGGTGGTAAACGAGCAGGTGCAGGACCAGGTCAGAAAATTTGGGATCACATGGCGAAGGAATCCAAGTGTGTGTGCGAAATTAAAAACAAAGATGAATTGTGCTGTGCACGAGCGATTGTGACAATGCGGGAGTATTCAAAAAGACAAGCAGGGGAAGAAAACACCTTTAAAAATATTTATCAAGCACGGGGAAAAAATTCGCAACAGACTGGACTGGACTGTTCTATGTCGGACGAACAGGAATGGCGAAATGTCATTATGAAGCTGAAGAAAAAGAAAAACTTTTTTATGAAGATTTCACAAGTTTGTACCCAACCATCAACAAGTACGGTACGTATCCTGTGGGTCATCCACAAATCATCGTTAACGTAGCGAGTCAAAACATCCAAGATTACTTTGGCATTGCGTTGGTAGATGTAATTGCACCAGAAAAGTTATTGCACCCAGTCCTACCTGTGAAGCTAAATGGAAAGTTGATGTTTCCATTATGTAAGAAATCTGTAGAGGACCAATTGGAAAGACAATGGTATGAAAGAACAAACCTCTGTCCACATAGTGATGAACAACGGACGATGACTGGGACCTGGTGTACACCAGAATTGCAAAAGACTGTGGAGAAGGGCTACCTACAGGATACTCAAGGTTCATGAAGTATGGCACTTTCCTGTAGAACAGCGAAAGCAGGGTTTATTTGCACCCTATGTCAATATGTGGTTAAAGCATAAGGCAGAAGCCAGTGGTTGGCCCGCTAACTGCGTGACAGAAGAACAGAAATCTGAGTACTTGAGGCAATATGAAGAGCATGAGGGGATAAAGTTGGAAAAGATTGAGAAAAATCCTGGGAGGAAAGAAGTAGCCAAACTTATGCTGAACTCTTTTTGGGGGGAATTTGGTGAGAACGAGAACCGCGCCAAAACCATAGCCATCCAAGACGAAGACGTATGGCAAGAAATTGTTCAGGAGGATTCAGTGATTGTCAAAGATGTACGCATCTTCAATGAGGATGTGATGGAAGTGAGTGTTTTGAAAACGGAAGACGCGTGTGAAAGTAGGGGGAAAATAAACATTTTCATTGCAGCATTCACAACCGCTCTGGCACGTCTCAAATTGTACGCAGAATTAGAAAGACTAGAATAGCAAGTACTCTACTATGACACAGATTCTGTGATTTATAGTTGGAAAGCAGGAGAGCAAGTGATACCCACAGGCGCTTTTGGGTGAAATGACGGATGAACGGGAAGGAGATTCAATCACAATGTTTGGTTCAGCAGGTCCAAACTCGTACTGGTATAAGACGAGGAGTGGCAAGTCCGAATGCAATAACAAAGGAACAAAAAGTTCGTATGAAATCAACCACGTGTTAAACTGTGAGACCATGCAGCATCACATTCAACAGGAACTCACAAGCCCCCTTGAAAGTAGACGTCTGATGGAAATAACTATTAAGAATTATTTTGTAACAGACAACACAAATAAGACAGTGCGCTTAAAAGATTTAGTCAAAGTGTTTGGGGTAAATTGGGACAAACGTGTAGTAGAAAAAGGGACTGGGGTTACATACCCCTATGGCTATGTAAGGTTTTAACTTGTGTTTTACCTTGAATTTTTCACTAGATTAGCTTTTTTATTGATGTAATAGGGGTAAGGTTGCATGGTGGTGCCAACCCAAGAATAAAGTGTGCTTTGTTACAGTTACAATTGCGTGTGTTGGATGGAGTGAAAATTACCCATACCTTAAAAATAAAGGTTAAACCCTAGCCCCTTAGGATCAGGGTTAGGGTTAAAACTTAACCCCAACTAGGAGAGGGACTGGGTACGAGTGCGGATAAGATTTCCACAAAACATAAAACGAGCTGCCAGCTCCTATGGGGTGTCATAGGCTTGCCCAGACATGCCCAGCTGACGTCATTGTTAGGATAAAAAACGACAGATTCTGACTTGAACACATTCTTATCACAATGTCCAAGATTACATATCCGCGACCCTGTCCTAAATGTGGAAAAGAAATAAGTAGGAGCAATTTCTCTCGTCACAAGAAGCAATGTGGAACTTTAGAACATCGCTATCACTGCCCGTTGTGTCCCTTAACCTTTTCACGACCAGATAAGAAACATTGCCACGTAAGACAGCAACATTCGAAGAATCCATTACGTTTTGTCTGTACGATGTGTGGATCGGAATTAACAACTTCTCAAAGCTGAGACTCCACATGGCGACAGTATGTGCTGAACAAAACCACGCTACAAATGTTGGTACTGCAACGCAACATTTACAAGAAACTATAACAGACAAATACACAAGCGACGTGATCATGGACGCATCTGTCCTGAGCAAGAAGCGAATTTACAGTTACATTTGGAACATTTAAGCGAAAGCGATGATTTCCAGAATGAGTGGATGTTTGTAGAATCGAGACCAATTAAACCAGACGAACATAACGTATGTCCGTTTGGTCAGGCACCCATACACTCTTACTTCTTTTTGGAGAACAAGTTCAATGGCAATCGCACGTTTGTGGGTTCTACATGTCTTGGAAACATAGATCCCAAAGCAAATGCCGTGATTGATTATTTCAAACATATTCTGGAAAAAGACGTGCAAGGGGCAAGACAACCAAGGTCCACAAAGATTTACAGTAAGATCAAACACCATACTAGTATGTCATTTAAAGGATGTAGAACATTTAAACCCTCAAGTAACAAGAAACCTGGACGGGCAATGGGAAGTCTCAGTGAAGTACCCCGAAGCAGAGACTTTGATTGTAGGTCAAGTGTGTTCTCTTAGATTGAAAGCCAAGTATCAACGTAGGCAGTTAACGTTCACGGCATTGTAATTTTTCACCACAGTGTTGTTTGATCAATAAGATTCACACAGTTGTGTTACAGTTGAACTTGTGTTTTACTTGACTGGTTGTTTTCCAATTTACTACAGAGTTGGGTATATTTTGCTTGTAAATCAGCTAATTCTTCCTGCAGCTGAGCCACGGTAGGTTTCTTAGGCTTTTTGGGTATGTTGAGCTGGGGTTTTTCGGGTTTCTTACGCGGCTGTTGTTCCCTCAGTTGCTGTTCCTTGAGTGTGTCCTAACGTTCTTGATCTTGGGTGAGTTTCTTTTGCTCCTCGAGAACCATTTGATCTAAAATCACACATTGGACTTGATCACACGCTGCATTGACAATGGCTTGAGCTTCAGACGAATTCATTTTTGGGTAGGGTCGTATAGATTTCATCCGCTTAGGAAACGTACCATGCTTGAGATGTTTTCTGAAAGCTTTGATCACTTTTTCACGGTACTTGATTCCTGCATGGATGGCCATAAGTTTCTGTCTTTGTCCTCTTAGCATAACTTTCTTAGTTTTTTTCGGTAGGTTCAGACATATCCATGGAGTTGTTTTCTTCGATAGCGGACATGTTACTTTAAGGTTCAGAGACAACAGTGGGTTCTCCTATAGCAGACATAACGTTGATGTTACCTCGACAAGATCAGATGTGAAAATGATGCCTTAGGGTGAGGACTGATTCAATTTATACCCTACGATGCAGTCACATAGCAATAGTGTTTTCTGACACAAGTCTCCTCAGGAAATCGTATTAAAATGAGGTGAGTGTGAATTAATCATTCATTTAACACACGTTATCATGTGGGTAGGAGGGTATAGTGATTGGATGTTTGCTGAGCAGCGTGAATGGGACAGAGATATCGCAGAATTAGAAGGAGAACGTGAGGAGAGAGAATTGTTCGCTAAAAACGAAGATAAACTACACTGGCTAGAGTTAGCGCTTGATGACCCTATGTTTAAAGTAAGTTATACAAGAGTATTCGGATCCAATTTGTCTGTCGTTGACATAACCCAACACCCACCGTCAAAAGAAGGAGCCCGCAACTTTGATTTTAAAGTTGTGTATCCTCTGTATCAAGGATTAAATGATGACTTTTTCTGGACGAGAAAAACATCCAAGACTTCTCAGATCAAAATCAAAGTGTCTTCCCAAAAACATTGGGACGTAATCTATATTTGTGAATTCTCACCAGACCAGTGGTCTGCAAAAATGGATGAAATCATAGAGGCCTTAACAGATCAGTTAACCATGAAACAAGACTTAAACCGAGGATTGCTGATGAGCCTGTCTTTCCATGAGGAGTAGCACTTTGCAGTAAAAGTCAGCAACTTAAAATTGTAACGTGTAGAAAAAGTCTCCGAATAAAATTGGGTTGAAATGTGTGTCACAGTATTTGAGATCTCATGACCGTGAACCGTTTTTACCCGTCCATCAACCCAAATCAACCTGTCATCATCCTGTCATCAATCTATATCAACCTGACATTAAACTGACATTAAGCTCACATCATCCTATCATCAACCCGATACTATAAATAGAAACCAAACACTTTTGCATCGCTTTCATTTGTGTTAAGACTTCATTGCGTCAAGATAGCATACAAGTACAGACGAATGTGCCCTATATGTTACAAACCAAATTTACTTTTCTTGGCAAATCATTTATGTCAAGAGCATAACCTATCCAGTGAAAACCGAAAACCCTGGCCAAAATCAGCGATATTTTCTCATCAAGTGACTCCTTCGTTATCACCAAGAGTTCAACCTCAAGGATGGTATACCCCTCACATTTTACAACATGGAATACCACAGCACCCTTTGGGTATGAATCCTCAATTTACAGATCACCCAAGTCAAACTCAAAGTATTAAACCGAAATCCCAAAAGGTAGCCAAGATCGAAACAAGTCAGTGTTTAGAGACCAAACCTTACCCTGACTTTAAGTTTAACCACATGTTCTCGATGCTCATGGTAGGCCCAAGTCAATGTGGTTAAAACACTTTGTGGAACAAGTGTTAACCAAATCATGCATCAAATATCCGAACAAGAAACCAAGACGTATTTATTGGTTTTTTAACCCATGGCAACGTCCCTATACGTCCTTGAAATCAGCACTCTGTGATGAGATACAGTTTACCCAAGGCTTACCTGAGCTGAGTGAAGACTTACATGAAATCAACCCAAAGTTTAACAATGTGCTGGTGTTTGATGATCTCATGAGTCAAGCCATAGATAACCCTGTGTTATCAAAATTGTTTACGCAGGGGAGACATCGTAATGCGAGTGTTATTCTTCTATTGCAAAACATGTTTCCAAAAGGGAAATTTAACACAGATATTAGCAGAAGTGCGCAGAATATGGTTTTGTTTGGCAGCCCTAGTGACAGAAAACAGATTGACATTATCGCAGAGCGTATTTTTGCCAAAGACCGCCCAAACTTTATGAACCTGTATGGAAGCGTAAGTGCAAAGCCCTACGGATATGTGTTGGTAGATAATCAGCCGAAGACGACAACAGATAAACAAGTTGTACCGACGTCTTTGGTCACTGTCAAAGCTACCCTCACATCACTAAAAGTACACACCCAGCTCCAGAGATAACCCAAGGTACACCTGAAACGGAATCGTGTCGTATTGAGCCGTCAGAAGTCAAACACAAAGGACCAAATCAATCTGCGAAGAAGTTTAAAGTATCAGGAAAACGCAAAGTAGAACTCGAGAAACCACCCGCTAAGAGGAAACGAACAGAAACAAAGCAAACGAAACGGAAGCAGTCAAAACCTTCGAAACAGCGAGTGAAAGCGAAACCAAAGACTAAGAAGAAGAAACAACCAAAGCGTACAAAACCAGCCATCTATAAACCCAAGTTTATTGTAACACCACCAAGAGAAAGCTCTGAGGAGGAACAGTTTACCTCCGAAGAGGAACAGTTCAGTTTTGAGGACGAATCATTTAATCCTACAACATCCTTCCAGGACGAACTAATCTCTTTCGCTAGACAGCAACAGAGATTAGGTCCTAAAATGGTGTACGAGAAGCTTAAAATCCATTGTAATAAGTCTGTCAATAAACCATGTTTAAACCCTAACGCACGATGCCTGTAACTTTTTGCGTAATAAATCGCCAATTTTCCATACATTTTACTATAGCGGACCACGAAGGAAATCTCCTTTGTAGTTTAACGAATGTAGTGGCGACAAAACAAATCCCATTGACCTGAGTTCAACAGCTAAACTCTGTATATCAAAAAGCTTTCACTATTCCACTAGTTCAATCTACGAAAAGACAGCAAACAAAGTAA